TATATCTTTGTTTAAATTACGTGTGCTTAATTAATATACCCAAGGATAGAGGGGATGTTGAATCGCCTGCAAAATGGAGGCTGTTTAGCTAGTATTTACTGCCTGCCAATAATTTTATTGATAAAAGAGCGGAACATATTAGTAAGCAATGACTTTAGTAAAGTTACGATAGCCTAAATTCACACTAAAAATGGCAACCAAAAGATTGAAATTTGGATTAAAAGATATTTATGCAGCCGCCTTATGTATCCTTCGATCTTATTGATATTTGCATATTTTACCTTATTAATTTTCCATTATTTAGCAGCGTTTATTTAAATATTTCTTTTTATATCGCTTTTCTTCCGTAGATTTGACTTACTTGTCAATGGAGGTGGCATCGTTCAGCTTGAGTTCATTCGTTACCCCACCAACCGATTTACTGCTATGCTTGTGCTTCACGTGCCTGCTAATGAATTTGTCAACCTGGGTGACTTCTATCTACTCGATCAGCAACAATTTTCAAAAACTCAACATATATTTAATCCAGAACTAAAGTATTCTGAAGCCAATCTGTCTATCGATACTGCTCGACTGGCCGCATCCGTCACTGGTTTTGCGCCTTCAGGTGGTCTTTTAGTTCAATCACCTATTCACTCTGATCTCTGGGTCTCAGACCAATACGTCTTCATCAAGTTACTCCAGTCTACATCTGCCGTTGGTGGTTCTTTGGCTTTGCCATCATCGTTGGTGACACCAGCTTCCTCCAGAGATCACTTTCATATTTTTAAACCTCCTACAGTCCATAAAGACTCACTTTCCTGTCCCCCTGACTTGCATGGTCTGACAGTACGTGACGGCCCTTTGGTTGAAGTAAACTGGGCCCCTGAACTCATGCCACTTTGCCTCAAAAAGGCTAATAGTGTCTGTGTAGAGAATGGGATCCTTATGCACAGTATACCTTTTGAGGTGATTCCTGATTTATTAGTGCTACCATATAAAGATAATCTTCATAACATTAGTTTTTTAATGCTTGATTTTATCTATAAAATTGCCATACTTTTATGTTGTATTTTATAATATTTGAGATTTCGTTGTATCTCAGTTTTTTCCAAGCGTATTTTGCGGATCAGAGCACGTTCTTACCTTGTGTGTATTTTCTGTGCCCTCCACTTCTTAATCCAAGTAATTTTGTCGTGTCACTCTATATCTAGCTTGGGCTATACTCCTATCGATATTGTCGTTTAGCAGTTTTTAAGCAAATTGTAGGAATTTAAAATAAGAGCATCCTCAGACTGTCTGTTATGGACAACAAATAAGAAAAATAATTAAATGAGCATATTGTTTTAACATTTTTACGCATATATTCTGTCTTGGATTTCATTAGGATTATTTAGGGATCCCACCGGACTAATCCATATATAAGATTTTAGTTTTTATAACTTACTTCTAAATGAAAATAGGTATAATCGAAGATATGAAGACCAAAATGGTGTGGCCTTTTGTGTAGTCACACTCTCCTTTCGTTGTATATAAGTTGTTTGACCTTGTTTTAGCAACTTGGTCATATTGGTAGGAAGACTTAGAGGAACGCACCTAGTACGGAGTCCATTGTATGCATGATCATCTCCAAAGTCGGACCGTAGATGTGGTACTTTCTCAGACGATTCGCCGGCATCGTAGTCGGCATCGTCAGTGAGTTTTACCATCCGTAGCACCATAGTACAGCTCGTCAAAGAGACAAGTGAAGCCCATCCTTAGACAAACGTGTTCTAAACAGCTATTGTATCTTCTGCCCCGGCCTATTCACATTTCCTATATTTTCCTATCACGCCTTTCCTGTTACACTTTTTACCGTGCTTATTTCGATGTAGGCTGGCGTGCTTCTTCGAGCGGAATTCATGAAAACCCTTCACACTCCATACTATCGTTCTCACCCCCTTCACTCTTGTGCTGGGAATGTTGACCAGAGTCTGCCATATTGTTACCTAGTCCTCCTTCCATAGGTCCTATCAGAGTCTCTCTCTTGCCATGTAGAATCTTTTTGCTATCTCCCTGGTACACGTATTTCACTCGACCCCTGTACCCCCATCTGTCCTACTCGAGGCGTTATTCGCCCTTTCCTGCGTCTTGGTGACGAGACTAAAGCCTCTGAATAAGTTTCATCGTCAAGCCTTTGCATGGTCCACGTCTATGGCACAGCAGGCCTACTGTCAGCCAACTAGCTCCAGTCTCCGCCGCGTCTATCCCGTTTCTATCCCTAATACCAAGTATATGACTTCCCATGCCCTAGTATCTTGTGTGCCAACCCACAAATCTTGTGGTACTGCTTGCTTTGATTAGGTTTAACGTCGAACCACAACGTTTGTGGGTTTGGCATAGGTATAATTCATGTTTGTAACTTATTTTAAAATCAAAGCATTATTAACATTTGTACTCCTGCATTTGTTGAAAAATTAACATATTTATATTTTTCTGTGTCCTGGATCTTTATAATATTTTTCTCTATACAATCTCAATCAGCACCGAGCCATATTTAGGCCGGTGCTGTTTATTTTATCCATAACCTTGCTTTATTTTAAATATATTTATTTCGGTTCTTTTTGTTGATCTTTTATTCAGGTTATTTAGAGTTTTCGTTCCTTTGATTAGGAAGTCCTTTATTTTGTCAATTAAATTTTTTTCTTTATTTATTGCTTGTTTTCCTGATATCTCAAAACAATTTCAAATATAAATACTCTCTCCACATTGACTATTTTGGCAAAATATTGTTATATTACTTCATTTAGATACTCTTAGACATCGAATCAAGCTTTGCAAATGGAAATTAAGAAGCCAAAATATCGTTTGTATTTTGGCCTAGAAATCTTTCCTTATTTTTCCTTGTTTCTTTCTGGCAAAATTTTTAGAATTAATCTAGCTATAATTTAATTTGCTTTTTTTAAGATTCTGATCCGGGTATTTGAATATCTTATTGATTAAATGCTTTCATTTGTATGTTTTTTTTTCCTATCCGTTTTTATTTACATTTCTTCTGTGTTTGTCCACTCACCTCAGGATACCAACATCAGGCTAGTCTATCGCTCGAGTCGCGTGGCTACTTATCGATCCTCTTTACACATTCGCATACTTAGTCCTGAATTCACAGTCCCACTTGAGCTGACTGAGATCCACTTAATTGTTGATGTTGCCGGTCAGCGCCGCACATGGCGCCTGGAGCCAGACCCTGGGTTAGAACACACTTTCTTCTGGAATCGACTGGATGGATATAACCGTACCGTCTACGGAGTAGTAAATGCTCGCGGTGAGTTGTGATATAATTTATTGTGCCCGGTGTCTTCTTACTGCTTCATAGCAATATTGGCTCAAGTTAGCATATAAATGTGAAGTGTAAACACGTAGAAGTGAAGCCTCACATTTTTCATCTGATATTTATTTTATTCTCTTATATTTGTTTTTTCTTTACTTACCTAAGATAGAGGCACGCATACTTAAATGCTCACTTAAATCCTGATTTAATTCATTCAAATATGTTTTACTTAACTTCATGTTATTATGGACTATTATTAAGCTTAAAATAATCTTGACTAAACTTGTTCGAACTCAAGTGACTCCTAATAATGTAAGCCACTTTTTTCCACCAAATAGTGTTATTGGAAGGACATTTTCTTAATTTTGCTCTTCCTAATTATTGAGTATTAGGTCCGTCACTATTCTTTATCACATTATATGAGCCACTTTTCAGTACTTTAAGCTTTTCTTATATGTTCGTCTCCCTGCACTCTAAATTTAATAACACTGTGCTTAAATCTGCAAATATTCGACTAAAATAATCTTTTAATAATTTTTCTTATAATCTTACATAACAACTCCCAAACAAAATTATTATTAAGTTATTCATGCTGAGCATGATGCTTTTGTTACCATATAACTCATATCTTACTCAGCAAATCTAACTTTTGTTGGAACATTGTAAAATCAAGTAAATACATCTTTCTTAACATTACCATACCTACAGTATTCCTGCAGTCCTCCTGCGGGGACTGAGCGAACCTAGTCACTTAATTGAACCTCTCTTTTGAATGAATCAGAGTATTTTGAATAAGAAAATTCCTAGACTAAGAGTCCTTGCTTCGTCGCCCCCTTGCTTCCGTCATTACTCTCTCCGCTATTGTCCAAATTATCGACCTTTAGTTCCTGCTCTCTCTGCTATTTTGCCTTATACCATCATGAAGATTTGCTCCGAATGTAGGCTTTCATACTTTGTTGTAACATTATCTCTATTTCATATTTCATGAATTAGATTTTATCTATAAACTTATTATTAACTTTTTCCCCTAGTTAATTTATGACTCATCTTAATTTTATTTTTCCTTTCCTTTCACATTCTCATTCGCAAAGCTTTTTTAACTTTAAGGTTTGATAGTAAATGCCAATCGACATGTGGCAACCTTGCGTTTACTACTTTATTTACATTTGAATGAATGCCTTTCTTAATTGACATTGTCCAAAAAATATCTCCCTTTCCGGCCAGTATGATTTTCAATTGTTGAGCTTACTTCCATTTCGAGTGAAAGTGGTTGGTGAAGAGATTCGAAGGTCGATTCCACAAGAAGACTACGGTGGATTCCTCTTGACCAGCTGTCGATATTCTTTACTGGGACATTCATGCTGACGCTGTTTCTGAGGTAATCTCTTCCTATTATGGTGGAAAGGTGCTAAGCCTTTGACCGTCATATGGCGAACATCATCAGAACAAAGTATCATCGTCAACCAAATTCCAGCTAACAAGTCAACCACCTATTTACTCTGATCTTCATCAAGTTACTCCAGTCGACATCTGCCGTTGGTGGACCTTTGGCTTTGCCATCGTCGTTAGTGGCATAAGCTTCCTCCAGAGATCACTCTCATATTTTCAAACCTCTTACAGTCCATAAAGACTCACTATCCTGTCCGCCTGACTTGGACGGATTAACAGCACGTGATTAGTGCATTACGTCACGGACAGGAGCGGCTTATACGTTCTGTTATCTTATTCTTATAACCAGGCTATCTCAAAAAGTATCAGGCAGCACTATTATAATAAACTTTACCACTCTTTTCATATAATAAATATGTGCTAGCTTATGTGGGTATGAAAAATTCTTCCAGCATTAAACAAATCCATATTTTTAAGTTTTTTACATTGTTTCTTTCGGACAATATATTATGTATATGGATTTATTTCTTCTCTCTGCTTTACTTTTTTTCGTTTATAACTAGGTTTTCGATACTACAAGTAGATCATTTATATTAGCTGTATTCATTGTGTTTCGTTTAAGGTGATAATGGGATTGTTAGTTGAATTTTTCAACAATGCATTGCTCTCACAAAGGATATTCTCATCTAGGATGAACTTCAGTTTCGACTTTGCTTAGGCATCAAATAGGCAAACACAACTATAGCAAATACAACTTTGTTCATCGATAATCTCACTACAGAGTGTAGTATAAAAGGTATCCGGTCTTTGATATTCCAATCTGATCTCTGACTCCAGGCAATCGCGGCAATGTGGCGTAGTGGTTAACGCTTGGGGACTATATGCTCCTCTGTCATCGTTCGAGTTTGTTGGGGATGCTTATGAGACCTAGGCCAGGTTCAAACGACAGTCCACTCTAGTTCAGAGTACCTTTTATTAACAAGGCTATGTGAACCTCAATGAACACCTAAGGACTACTTCTACCATTTTAGGAAAATTTAACTAACCATCTACTTATCTTCGTAAGCGTAATAGGTCGAATGCATTCCATATATTTGTTTACTTTTGCCTTTTTATCTTTTTTACCCATGTCCCTTTGTCTGTTTTTCTGCTTGTATATACACGAATATTTTTCGTTCATAAATTGGGTTTTTAGACTACCATTACATCAGGTATATCAGATTTATTCACCCTATTTCATTTAAGGTGATGAAAGACTGGTAGTTGAATATTCCCACATTGATATAAATAGAGCTGTCGTTTTAATTGAATTTCATATGGCCCTGCTTTCCAAAAGGCATTTTCATCCAGGGTCGACTGCAGTTTAAACCTCGCCTTTGGAGTCGAACCATGACAGCGCATCATGTAATTTCTACACGTCAACTACTAAGACACATTACCATAAGTGACCCAGAACGATAGAGCCGATGTGAATTTCAAGGTAAGCCAGTCATTTTCACATATCAATTTTCTCTGGTGGGATTCTCGATGAAGCAAAGTTATATTTGCTGTGACAATTGACTACATTTTTCGTTAATAAGTAGGGTTTCAAGATCACCACATCTCATATAACTTATTTAGGGGTGGTCTCGAAACCCTACCTATGAAGGAAAAATAAATTGTGTAACCGAGTGCCATTGCAAATATAACTTTAATTCATATAGTATC